ATTTATTATTAGTAGAAAGTAATGCAATTTAATTTATTAAAATGTAATTAAATATACATAGTATAGTAATGAATGAAGTTATTGAATTGGACAAAAAGTTTTTGGCGTTTTGCTGTTTTTTTGATTTTGAGATGCGATAACTTTTAAATGATAAGTTACAACTGTTAAACCTTTATTTTTGACTGATAATAGATTGATTCAGGATTTCTTAACCGATATTTTTAGTACACTCCGTGAGAAAGTATAAAAAATTCCTTGGTTTTCGTTTGCTGGTACTCTGTTTTTGAAAATATTCCAGATTTACTTTATTGGCCCGTTTTATAATACATACAATTTCATTTTCCCTTATAAACTTAAAAATTGTTCTATACTAGTACATACTTGAGTCAAAGTCATATTCAATTTAATTGATTTAATTCGAATAAAGTGTACGTCACCCACTATTCGCAATCTAACATTGAGAAGAAATATTCAGTAGCTAACTGCTGCTGAATATGTTATTATTACAATATTAAGACGATCAGGGGAAGGATGCACCATAAATATGTAAAAAAAATGATATAGTGATGTCTTCAGTGAGGTTACGTTTTTTGCAAAAAAAAGTATTACTGATTCTCGCTCTAATCTTTATATTGTACATAAAGTTGATGATAATATCCATAACGTTCAAGAAGACGTATAAGTAGCAGTCACATGGACTGTATTTTTCTGCCTATACATCAAGAAATTTTTATATATTTTAATATCTTTAACTTTATCTCTTTGGCATAAAGTTAACGTCAGTTTTTCAAAAATAAAAAACCGACCAGGAAAGGCTTCTTTATGTTAGCTTGACCAATCATTTAAAACTTTGACTTACTTCGTCCATATTTTTTATATATGTGATGTATGAAAATTTTTTTACATAAGAATATATGTAAAAATATTTATTCCAAAATATTGAAATTTATTCAGTTCTTCATTAACTTCGGAGAACATTTAATTCATTTAATCGAAATTGAAAAATTAAAATTTTCTTCAGCACATATTTCTATATAACAAGGAATTCGAAAAAGAATTCGTTTTTTGCGAATTTTTAAGAATTCAAATATTTTAGTTAATTTTCAATGAGAGACACAATTCAAGCTAAAAGTTAAAGTTCTAACCATACGATGAATAAACTTCCAACTATTTCGAACTGATTTAATATATAAATTTCTAATAAATTTTAAAGAAAACTTAATTTTAATAAAAACTCGAATGTGTATTCATTAGGATGAAGAAATTTAATTATTGAAAATAATAAAATATTACATAATAAATATTTTTTAAGATAATAAATCTAAACATATATCTACTACCAATATGAATATTTTGTGTATTATTATTCATCTAAATTAATTATTTTAAGTTAAAAGAAAAATATTTCAAATAGAATATGAAATTGCATACCTTTACATACTATTACATATGTATTCACTTTGAGTTGAAGATATTGTAGTGCTTCTTCTCTATTAATTTTTATAAAATTTGTACTTTTTCAATATATTTAAAGTTTTAAATTTTGCATGTTTTTGACATTAATTTTTAAATAATAATTTATTTCACATATCTGAACGCAATGCATGTAAGCTTGTATTTTGCATTTTAAAATTTGTTCATTTTTCCGTTATTTATGAAATTGAATACTAGGAATCGTTAGTAAACTACAAATCCCTCAATTCAGTTCGTTGAATAGAAAATGGAAATGGAATGGAACACTGTGCATATTTTTGCAGATAATAATATGTAATAAGTCCTTATGAGATCGACGAGAGAAACTTAAAATGCACAACCATAAATACTTTTTGCAAAATATTTTTCTCAATTCTATTGAAAAGCAAAATCTTCTTTAAATGTAAGTTGAATAACAGTTTTAGATTTCATGAAAAATTTTTTAATAATATTAAATAAAATTCACGTTATAAACGTGAAATGCAACAAAAAGATTTAATATGAAATTCAGAACACAACACTGCGTATGAGTAACAACTTTTAATAGAAAATTTAATTATAGAAATCAAAATTTTATTCGGATTCTTAAGGTCTGCACGTAATATTGGTTTATTAATTGAATAATTAGTTAATAAAATAATTAATTAATTAAAAAATATTACATATAGTGTATTTATATAATACATACCTTATCTTGGTTCCGATTCAATGTAGTCAATCTATCCAAACTTTCTCATACATAATAAAATACTAATATTAAGTATGTTTGAAAGAAACGTCAAGAATTATTCACTAACATCTGTGAATAGTTATTTGCAGTTTATTTGACATTATTTTGATTGTATTCCAAGTTTTATATCCATAAAAACTACCAAATAATATAAATAATAATATATATCTTAATATATATATATATAGCTTAAATAATATATATCAAAATTTCAAAAATTTAAGAAAGCACTGATTGACAATATTTTAGATGCATATTTCTATCAATTACACTAATTAAAAGTCGACTACATCAGCTAATCTTTCTAATACTAATCAAGAGTGAAGTGCTTTTGTCAATATTTAAACAAAGTAGTAGCTCGATTTAGTATGGAATTCCTGTATTCTCTTTCTCTCTGCTTTTCTTTATTCTCTCTCTGCTTCTATTTCTCTTTATCTTCTTCAATCTTTCGCTCCAATTCTGTTTCATGATTAAATTGTTTTAAACATATTTATTATATTAATGATTACTAAGTAATAATAAACATATATGGAGAGCACTACGACTTTAATAAAACTATTCTACCGCCTGCAGGAGTCCCTAGCCAAACATCTTGTCGGCCCAATAAATGTAAAAATTTATTATATTTAATGCCAATAACTATTGACGTAAAAAATATATCGTTGCAGTGTCGCAGTCTAGACCCAAATCAATAACCTTACCAGGCAAATATATTATTCCAAGATGGTAATGCACTCCAATGTGTCTGCCTTGGATGTGAAATTAGTAGTGTCAGCTTTTTCGTACTGTGTAAGGATGTCCTTTTCTAAACCACTGTGTCCTATCAAACATTTCAATACCAATCTCAGATATGAACACCAAAGAACGCCACTTCCAAGCAGAGAAATCATTCTGAGACGGTAATGCACTCCAAGATACCTGGTTAGGATTTGTCTAGAAAAAGAAAAAGATCTTTTTGGTCATTTGACCATTTGACAGTTTTTGAAATGTCGTACCAGAACGTCGTTAATTTTTGACTGCTGCTTAAGCCTATTATACTTTAAAAGCAAAATTGTCTTCTTTGTATGATTTGTTCAGTTATTATTTTCTACGTAGAGTCCCTTGTTTATTATTGGTTTAAATTAAAATTGATTTATATTTGCAACAGATTCTTCAATGCGTATGGAAAATATTAAAAAGGAAAAAAGCTTTTTATTGAACAAAGCTACATGATCATTTTAATAGTAAAGTGGAAGAGGTAAAAGCTACAGAGTGCTAAATCAAATAAATGTAACTATTTGATTTAACTGATGCTTTTGTTTGTGAATATGTGGCATCAATTAAAATAGCAAATTTTAAAAATATATTTTTTTTGACACCTTACAGCATGCTGAAACTTTTTTCATAAATTATAGTATTAAATAAAAAAATACAAGAAAAAATTATCTCTGATGTATCTGTTACATATCAAAGTTAATACACTTGGCAATATTTACAACATTGGTATTGGCCAGATACTTATATATATCAGTACGTCCGACTCATTCTCATATACTCATCATTCTAAACACAATAACAAGGAATGTGGAATCAAAATGACCCTTTTAGCTAATTGAGTAGATCTACATTCTCTTTGGATGGACCTTAATATTATATGACGATCCTCTGAAGTTTGTTTTTTTGAAGAATATCCCAAACATCTACTCTGAACCTTTTTCATTCTTACCTACATCTACATATAATATGTTTAAAAAACTTGCTTATAGAATATAAAATCTCATCTACTTTAATTGATATAAGAAATTATAACTCAAAAAGTTGGTTGTAGTGATATATTTATGCAAATTTTTTATAAAATGTATTAAAAAAAATATTTAAAACAAGTGTGATTCACACGCTTATATATATGCATAAAATTAATCATTTACATAAGGATACAATCTTTTTCCATGATTGATTACATCAAATGACATTAAGTGCTTATAATGGATCTAAAATGCCAAAATTTTCCTATTAAAATTATAAATTTTTCCAGTACAGTACAACAAAAAAAGTGTAAGGCGTTTTAAGTAATGCTCTAATACCGTGGGAGGAAGTAAAGGATATGAATTTAAACGAACAATCACAATGAAATATTATCAATGTATATGCCAAAATGTGATAAACTTTTTCCACTTTATTTTTTTTATTTTTCTTTTTATCATCAATTTTTATTATTTGTAAATTTTTGTTTGTTTTTTTTTTCATATTATTTTATTTTTTGCAACAATCTTGCGTGATTGTTTAGATGAATTTTTTATGCTCTTTGTGTCTTATCATGCTGTGCTTGTCATATATTTTTGAAAAATAAGTTAAATCCATAAACCTACTATGTATGTTTTTATATTTGCAGTTGTGTGTACATGAACATTTTATTAATAAAACAAAAAAAAAAAAATAATTTGTAACTTACTAATGCTATGTTTTTTCTTCTTTCTTCTCTTTTCATCTTTTTTGCTGCTGTGCATCCTTATTTTTCTATCTTGTTTAAAACCACCACAAATTGTTAATACTAACACAACTAACAACAACAATAATATAACGCCTGATTCCGTTAACTCAACACCTACCCGTCCTTGCACTGATTTAAAAACAAAAAACAAAAAAAAAACATAAAATACAATTAATCATGTTAAAACATGACTGAAAAACACAATCCGCAAAAAAATTCAATCACAACTGAAAAATTGTTTAACTTTTAATACACGCAAAAAACAAAAACATATAAAATATATAAACAAAAACAATAAACAAACAAAACCAAATTTTAAAACTGCAGGCTTTTGCGTGCCGAATTGTACTCATTGCGTCGACAGGGCGCTTTAAAAATTGGCAGTGCTGCCAATAGTAGCAGTGGTGGCACATTAGATGTTATACAAAATCCACAACAACAATTGCAACAACAACAACAGCAACAACAACAGCTCGAACAAAATAACCACAATCGACAACAGCAACAATTATCACAACAACAACTTCAACAACAGCTTCCACTGTTACACGAATCCAACCGGCACTGTGCACGCTGTAACACAGAATTGGGCCGCATAACAAATCGGGGCGCGCCGTGTCGGGTCTGTAAATTACGTGTATGTAAAGCTTGCCGCGAGTTTACCACACGCACCACGGATTGGGTTTGTGTGGTGTGCCACAAGCAAATGTAAGTGCCAAGCAAAAGTTAACTCACAAATTCCTGTGAAAAATTTCCAAAAAAAAAATTTTACTTAACATTTATTTGTGTTTAACAGTGTTTTTATTTGCTTAACATTGTTTGTATACCTTAACAGACAACATTTTACATTTTTGTTTGCTTGCATCTGTTAAGTGCTTTGTGTTAAAATAACTGTATGTACCGCAATTCAAAGCAACAATTTTATAAAAATAAACAAAATATCTATATATACATATATAATATACTTCAAGTAACTATGTTTATGTTATTGTTTTAAACTAATTAATTAATTTTTTAACACTAACGTATGTAAAACTCCGTGCATGTAACATAGTTATATATATTTTCTTAATGTTATTATATTAATTTCATTCAATAAAGTTACATTAATGTAAGAATAAGTTGATTGTCTGCCAAAATAAACTTAGAAAGTTTGCTTGCTTACAATTACATATGACGTCATCACATTTTCCGCCTCTGTCAATTGGCGACGACGTATGTCAATGTTAAGTTTATAATTAAATAATTTTCAATTCAATTCTTTTTGTTAATTTTTCTAAATTCTAAATTCGATATATTTGTTGGTTTTTGTTTTTGTTTATTATTGAATAACCCATTTAATACACTAGAAAACTTTTAGTTTCGTTGGTTACAGTCAATTATTCAAATATAAACTTTTGTATTTTATTTTGCAATTCACTATTTCAAGTACGCATGAAATTACTTTTAAATTAAAAAATAATTCTTTTTTTATTTTTTTTTTTAAATCAATTATTTTCGCATCGATTTCAACTTTTACTTTATCAAATTTTGCAGTTTCATTTTTGTGCATATAACTTTAGATTGTAATTTTTATGGTTATTTAATATTAAATTTTCAAGAGAAGCCCTTGAATTAAAGCATTCCATATTAAAAAATATTTTTCTGAAGTACTTTACGTTATTTGATATCAAGTTTGTAATAGCATTAATGAAGCTTGTATAATGTAATTAAAGTATTTTATTATTTTCGATAAAAAATATTATTTTTGTTTTAGTAAGATAAAATATTATTTGTATACATAAATACAGATAAGTGAGTAATGCAGTTAATAATTTTAGTGCTTTTTAATTAAATAATTTACAGTTTTTTTATTTTAGTATTTTATTATAAGTTACGCGTTTAATTTATTTTTTATAAATACTTTTAAAAATAATGCTATTCTGAACATTTAAAAGCATAAGCAGAATATAACACTAAATCCGAATTTAATATTATATAAAAAACAAATATTAACAATTAAAAATAAAAATGTAATTAATTACTTCAATTATTCAACAGCTGGTTTATGATTTCGTTCTAATATAAAGACAGCAAGTGAGTTTGTTAATGAACTTTCATAGCAAATTAACAAAACTCCAGAAAACTGTGCGAACATAAAAAGTCATGTATGGCTTTGGGTCAGTTGGTTAAGGAACGCTGACTCTAAGCTTCAAAATTGCATGGTACAAGTTCAACCCTTGGTGCTTGCAGTCTCAAAATAAAATTATTAACGAATAATTAAATACAAGAATTATGTACTGTTATACTGTTCGAAAAGAACGCTTTTATAAAATACATATATAAATATAAAAATGATATATTTTCCAAAATTTAATTAAATGAAATTCAGTACATATACGTGATATATAAAATGCTATTTAAATAGATTTTTCAAAACACTTCCAAAAAATAATATTGTCCTGAACAAATACTTTTTAAGTGATTATTTAATTAGTAATAATTAAAATTAAAACAAGGAAAAAATATTTAGTCTTACATAGTAGTTTATTGAACATAATATAATGCAAATTTATTACATATCTTTTACAAACCGGATGGAAATGACATATAAATCGGGTAAAAATTTTGCAATTTTATTCCTAGAAAATATGGTTTTGAGAATTGGCATTGTAGATACATTTTCAAATGGCTATATCTCAGGCTCTATAAAAGGTAGAAATTTTAAATTTGCAGCGATTCAAAGATAATTGATTAAACTTTAAAGAATTTGTTTAAACAATTAAAATTGTTTATATTTAAGTACTAATATTAGCCGTTAAATTTCAAGAAAAAATTTTTCTCAAAACATATACCCAAAATTTTCATTTTTTATATTTTATTTAGATTCAGTGTTAAATTTTACTTCGAAATAAAAATTTTCAGGATACCAATATTTTTTGAAATTTTTTAATATATTTTTTTCTCCCGCAAAACACATCAAGCACATGCGTACTATATTTCCATTTAATTAATTTTCAAAGAATATACTATAAATATTCTTATATAATATTTTTGATTTTGATTAGTAATAAAATTCTATATAAAACTCAAGTATTTCAGAACGATATTCTTAGAATCCTTATTATCCTATTTAATTTTTTTTGGGTACCTATCGGTCAATAACCTATTAAAACCCTCACTTTGATGTTGATTCTGCCATTTCAAGCTCAACCCATACAGAAAGACTTGTTGACTTGTGGACAATTTTAACCTTTAGTTAGATATCCAGAATTTAGTTCAATAGATATTATTTAATTACTATTTAATATATAGTTATAGTGTACTTATTGTGCATGTCTTTAATATTTGTAGTTAATTATTGTAAATATTTTAAATACAAAGAAGATTTGAGTTGTCATTATTTTTTTTTAAATATATTTTTTTAACTGACTAATTGGTTAATCTTAAACAATACACAACTTTTCAAATTTGTTTTAAAAATATATTTTATTTTTACCAATATGTGGACTATAGTTATATAGTTACATACTATGTATGTACATTAAATATGTATACTATAGTATGTGAGGTATTTATACTATAGTTACCTTTAACGCGTTTAAAAATATATAAATGATGTTTTATCATTAAAGCAATAAATCATTACATATTCATTATATAACTTATTTTCAAAATCATTTAATTTTAAATTTAATTTAAAAAAAATAATATATAAAAGTTCCATTCATATTGAAGTTGATTGCATTTCAATGATTCATTCAATAAATTTAATTTCATTAAAATTTTTGTTGTTGTAGTTCACTGCTGTTCGAAAAAATCTCTTTATTAAAATCTTATATAAAAATTAAATAATTCGAAATACATATATTTTTTTTATATTATTTTGCGGTTTATTAATTTAGTTACATAAAAACTTAAGTATGCGCTATGTTTATGTTTTTCAAGTACCCAATAAAATGTTAATAAGTGTGAATTTAAAATGCATTAAAATTGAGGTTGAATACCATATAAAAAACAAATAGTTAAGAAATATTATACAAAATAACTGAAGTAGACTAAATGATATAAAATAAAGGAAATAAAACTTTCCGGCACTTACACGTTTCGGTAACGATTCATACTGGTTTCACTATGAAGTACGCCTGTGCATCTATGCAAATCAAATCGAATATAACATTTTTTATTGAAAATACTAAAACTTTTTATTTCAGTATTTGTAAAATAAAAAGTTTGTTATTCAATTATAAATTTAAAGGTGCAACATTTGTTCTAAATGTTTTTCAATACTACACTCCAATTATTTATGGTTCTTGCGAGGAACTAACACAGCGCCCACTTTATCAAGAAAGTCACTTCCATTCATTGTGGGTCTTAATTATACAATTTAGCAAAACATCACAAAAAAAAAAATAAATAAATAAAAACGCAAACAATGAATATTATATTTGTAATTGAAATTGAAATAGAAATAGATTTATATATGTAGATATATATAGATATATGTATATATTGCTAAGCAAAAAAAGAAAAATCTTCACAATAAAATTCATTTGTTTTCTGTTGGCCTAATATTGCCAACACATCATCGTTCACAAAGTACTGCATACTACACTTTTAGAAACCAAGTTTGGAAGTATTAAGGCTGCGTCTGAGCTGGTGATGTTGGGTGCATAAACCAACCCAAAAATGTAGGCGGCAATACAAATCAAACTTGAATAGGTCTCTTTCAATTGATGATGACGCTACTTCTACTTCAACTTCTGTTGACTGCGCGTTCGCAGCCTTGTCAACTGTCAACTTCACATCATTAAGATATATTGAGTTTTTTTTCCGAAATCTATCTGTTGCTGTTTTCTGTTGTTTGCAAAGTTTTGGGTTTTTTTTTGTATCTGTAATGTTGTCATTTGGTTTTCAACTGCACTGCAAAGCAGTCTGCAAATTATTTCAATGAAAACTTTTTATTTCTTTCTTTTCGAGAGCTCTGAACAAAATAAAAATAAATAAATGTTTTCATTTCTTATTGTTAAATTGAATTGCTTTGCCTGTTGCAGGGAAATACAAGCCGCAAGTGGTGATTGGTTGAAGGACTATACCCGTGGCTCTTGTGGAGCTGTTGATCATTTGCCTACCAGTGATGTGCTAAGGAAAAGTATACGACGTTCTTGGACAATATCAAGTGAGTAACTTTAATTAATTTTAAATTGAATTCAACAAAAAATAAAAAATAATTATTAATACGAAAATAATAAAACATTAAAATAAATATATAATAAAAAATATAATATTAAATGTATTACATCAATAAAAATAATTAAAAAAACTCAAAAATTTAATTATTGTTATATGTACGAATTCAATACGAATAAAAAAACATTATAAAATAAAAAAAAGTTATGGTGAAAATACAATATATGATTATTACTTTAGTATAATGCAATCTATGAATGACATTTAATCTAAGTAGAGTTGGTCTGTGAATTTATGCAGAATTAATTAATTTTAGATCTATATTGACTATATAAATCACAGGTCATGAACCTAAGTATTCCAGTTTTTTAAAACTGATTTCAACTATTTAAAGTAATATATTCTACTGACGATAAGCGCACTGCTCTTGAAAGGAAAATCTTAAAGTTTCACAAACCGATGATTAATTGAATAATACATGAAAAGTGAAACATATCTATATTAACTTGAACTGCCATATATCGACAAGGAGTCATCAAACTAGTGACGGCAAACGGTACTTTCATTTAGAATTGAAAGGATTTGTAACCTCCATTTATAACAGAGTATTGTCAACTCTTAACCTCTATCGATCAATACATAGCGAACAGATATATAGAAGTTGTGGGTACCATGAAAAAACAGTTAAACATATTATATCGGAATCCATCTTTGCAATGTAGCAAAGTTTACACATGAACCACGTTTCATTACAGAAAAGGTTCTATATATATGAACCCCTTTTAATGCTTAAAAAAAGAATACGTTCATTTTATTATATCCCAACTGCACTTACTAAACTCATGTAATACCTCTTACAAAATTTAATTCAAATCACTTTTTAGAAAACTCGATAGTCACAATATATGGTATATAATCACTTTTTAGAAAACTCGATAGTCAGAATATATATAATCACTTTTTAGAAAACTCGATAGTCACAATATATTGGAAGTGATACAAAAATCTATATCAATGAAAATATGGCGATAAGACAACAGATATTCAAATTTATAATAACCTAGAAAAATACAACCTGAACTATTTCTCAAAAGAATATTATACCTTGCCAAATTAAACGGGGAAGTTTGGTTCCTAATGGTCAAATCCAAATTGGATTTATTAAATCTTTAAAATGGGATGTAATAATACCGACAAAAAATTGTCGTATAATAATTCAATTTATGAGAAAAATATGAAAAATACTGTCAACCATTATGATAAAAAAAAAAAAATAAAAAAAAAATGGAGTCATAATAAAATAAATATATATTTTTCTTTTGTAAAATACATAATAATAAATAATCGAACCAAATTTTATTAAAGTGAATTTAAAAAAAAAATATGTATAAGCTATATGAAATTATAACAAAATTATTAAAATGTTTATATATAAATTATAAATATAATATAAACAATTAGAAATTTCTAAATAATAGTTCTAAAAATAAATAATAATGATAATTAACATCTAATATTCTAATGTCAGGAATACACAAGACTAAAATCGTAGATCTGTGTTAAAAAAAATATATACATATATTAAATAAAATTTTTTTCTAATTTTAGATCCCGAGGACGATCCGAATAATCCTAATCAACAAGCTCAAGTTGGCAATAAATTATTTCCTCAACAGCAAAATTTAAATGAAACTCAAACCGCTGGCAGTTACCCGTCACTAATACGCCATCAACTACCACGAAATCCCATGAACTATAATCCCGGTAGCGGTATTATTGGCGTACAATCAACAGACTATCATATAAATCCACAAAGACGTGTGTTACGTCAATCTACTTTACCTAGTTCTTTACCAAATAATGATGCAAATAAAAGTGGTAGCGGTGTAAACTTAGCAAATTATAATAGTGTCAATCTAACCGCGCCCACATCACCGCATCAATTGCAGAAGAGTCCTTTGTATCCGAGCGCGTACAATAGTGATGATATTATACATATGAGCACTACAGATTGTGATAATTATACGCAACAAATGCCTATTAATATACAACAGCAACAGCAACAAAGTGTGATAAATAATCAAACTCATCATCGTTTACAGGTATTTCGCCTAGCTTTTATAAAAAAAACTATATTATATTAATCTATCATACTTATTTACAGGTCCGTAGACAATCAACCTTACCAGCGAATCCATGTCAAGCTCCTATGTATATGTCCACATCTCCAAATCGCGGTTACAGCCGTTCACCAGAGCGTTCACCGGGTGAGCAACGTTATCCACCATTTATACGACAGACATCATTTCCATGCAATATGACAGAGCAACCACATCTGGGTACAACAGCACCAACTTCTTATGGTACACCACCGCACCGAACTAAAATTTTACCATCTTCACCAAACTATCCAGGCAGTGCACAATATCAGCAACAGCAACAACAACAGCAACAGCAAGCAGCACAACAACAATTGTATGACACACAGGCACCCGTAGAGGATATGGATTACGTGCAACAAATACCAAAGCCACGTATGTTGCGACAAGCCACCCTACCCAATCCAGATCAACATGTAAAATTATTACCAACCTCACCACCTAAACGCCAAACATCTCCACAATATCGCCGTTCACCTGAGTTCATGCGTCAACAAACTTTACCCAATCCTGAAGCATTTAGTGGTAATTCACTGACCGTACATCCAGCTGGCGTTACAAATGCCAACTCACCAGCTAAGTTTATGCCCATTTCCCCTCGCCAAAAACAGAACTTCCTCTTCCCAAATGTACAAAATCCACGTCAATTTTTATCCCAACAAAATGTGCCAACTGTTGGCATTGCAGATACCAGCAGTGGCAGTGGAAGTGGAGAACAATATGCAAGCAGTCAGAGCGTAAATATCCATCGTGATCATGCCAAAATGATAAAAGTGCGCAGTCACAGTAATGAAGAATATTCAATCACTAAACCATATCATCATTCCGAAAATAGGCGCATCTTACCGGAGATTCCCATTAATCGAAGTGTTAGGTAAGTTAGCTATTAAATTCGTATTTCCAATTACTTTATAGAATTTCTTTTTTAACAGTCGCTCTCCAAGTCGTCTTGTGCGGCAGGATTGTGTGAAGGATGAACATATGCGCACCTTTGGTGAAGCGAAACAACAATTCAATCAATTTCAAGATGTTACAGAAGAAGATGATAATCGACCGGAATATGCTGATTATTTTGTTGACAGCTCCAATAGTTTTTTGGAAGCAGACGAAGTGCAATATGAAAAAACATATAACACTGGCTTTAGCAGTGAGCCACGTATTATATATAATGATGGTTCAGATGATGGCAGCTATAATCAGTATCAGCGACCAATTGTACATAGTTCAGAAAATGTACTAACAGCACGTGGTTATGGATATGGATATGGAACAGATAGTGATAGTTTAGCTGGGCACTCATTGGGTGGTGGTAGTTTAAGTGCAAGTGGTGGTGCCTTACCGCGTACTCCACCACAGCTTCAAAACCGCTTAAGACGGCGACAGTCACGTGAAATGCAAATGCAGCAAGATGAACTTAATCAGTTGAATATGCAAGCAAACAATGCTGGAGGAGGAGTTGTGCAACCATTAGTTGGGCCTAATGTCAGTGTCACTAGTGCTCAGCATGAAACACATGAACGCCGTAAACCCGAACAAATGCGTTCAGTATCAGAAGATTCTGGCGCAAAAAATACCCCTAAACCGGTAACAAGACGATCGTTGTCACACCCCGAAAAGGAGACTCAGGTCAGTTGTGTTTCGTTAAAACTTTTAGTTACTGAAAAGCTTTTCAATAAAAATTATTTTATTAAAAATTTAGGCTCCGAAAAAACCCGAACCAACGAAAATACCAAGTCCAAAACCTTTAGCTGATATTTTGGATAAAGTACGACAAAATACGAAAATACCAACGCCAAGACGCAGAAATAGTAGAGGAAATATTGGAACCGAAGAAGAAGGCAAGTAATTCATCATTAAGTACAATGTATTTTGGAACAAGATGATAAACATTACTAATTATGAGTGAACCACACAGATTATTTAAGAATACTTAATATTAAACCGTTAAATATATCTCTCCATCTCATGTGTCAGTCCCCATCTTTAATTAGGAGAAGATCTCTAATCTTCGGGCCCCTGACTGACTGACTGACCTGACCGAGCTGTCATCTTACAAAATTTGGGGCTTAGCCAAATTCATATAATTGGCAGGTTGGTTCACCTTTACCTTATGGGTAGTCAATACCTTTCGGCGTTGGTCGTACACAGACCTTTTAGTCTATGTATGAACTGCGCTATTCCTGTGGTACCCGTAGGAACCATTTTTTGAACTCAAGTGAGCTTTCTTGGACACAAAGTCGCAGACTAATATAATATTATGGTTAAGGAAGCTGTAAATGATTTTTTTAATAACTTCTGGATATCATTATAGTTGCATAGAAGAATTAAAAATTTCTAGTTATTCTAAAACAGCCGACCACGCTTCTTTTGAAGAGTGGTCGCATAGTCAAAGAAAGGTATTTATCTAAAGATATATCTAAAGGTATTCATGATGCTGAAATCTAATATTCATGCAATGTTTATTACAATAGCTTTTTGAAGATTAAATCCGCAATTGAAATTATTATAATACGCTTCAACTATTAAGAAACTAAAATAGAAAAGTTTTTCGATGATTATTAGATCACCTAGCAGTTGGTAGTAAATCTGTTCTGATCAGTAATTCAATAAAAATCAATAAAAATACCATTATTAACTTTAGTTAGCTTTAAAGTGAAAGACCTTTTTTTAGATATTTATCTATAGAGAATATGTTTCATGAGTATGATATGGTTGCAAACACATTATTCAATATAATTTCATGGCCTTTGCTACTACTATTATATGAGTTTGTTTTTTTTTGTGTCTGCGGGGATTATGTAGTTTCTTTTGGGAAGTGGTAAACGGTCATCGTCGAAATTGACAAATGAACCCGACCGTATTTGGAGCCATATTAGCATGAGGAACCAAATTAGTATGATAGACCTACTAGATGTTTTTGAACGTAAACAGATATAGTAGACTAATTATTTATTGTTCAGATAGGGAATTTTTTGGTACAAAAAATGCTATTGTCTTATATGTTATCTGTCGACTGTATATCATATATATTTTATGAATATTTTAACTAAAATCCAAGCTAAATATAGCAATATATGAATATATTTATTGACAAGTTTTGAATATATTATCTCAAAAATTATCTTTAAATCACGTTAACCAATCAGATCGTAGAATTGTTAGGTTACATTTATAATATCAAACAAATTATTCCTGAATTATCTTAATTAATAACTAAATTTACAAAAATTATTTTGACTGCAATTCCGTTCGTGTTCAATTTTATACTTTATAAAGATATCTATATAACATTTTAAATTATTAATTTACAATAAATTTTAATTTAAAATGTCTTTAATCCCACTTTACTTTTTAAATCAAAAATTTAACTTTTTATTTTGTTATTGTTTAAATAAATAAAAACTTCCGGTAACCTATTGATATGAATTAAATCATATTTCATGTAATATTATTTTATGAGCTATTTATTATAAAAATATTCTATTCATATTTTAATCTTTTTATTGTTTGTTATTTAACTTACAGGCAATATAAAAGCATATTTAAATGAACGAAGAAATTCTGATTTATCCGCAAAGACATTAAACAAAAAACAGGAACAAAATTCCGTTGAACAAAAAGGACAACATCCGGTCACAAGCAAATCCCAAGAGCAAAAAACCGACATAAATGCAAAGTCAAGCAATGTTACAAAAGATCAAATGCAAACTGAAAAGAAAACTGACAACGACGATGAAACCAATAAAGCCGCCACAACAACGGATCCAGCGACAAAGGTACGTTGCGGTATGGTTACCATACCTTCCTCCACCTTTTGTTTTTAATAAAAATTCTATGACAATTTTTATTTCTACTAAAGCGAACAATGCAGTGACAAAATATAGATATAATATATAATTAAGATACCTTAACTTCACTTACCACTCCTCACTCTATTTCTTCTCATTCTTCTCTTCATAGTACGTTAACATTTTATGTAATTTTTCTTCGTTCTTTTTATAATTATAGCAACACACCACAACCTTGGGAGAGCAGGAGATACAAAATGCAGTGGAAGCCGCTGCTGTTATTTTCAAAAAAGTTGTGCTACAACGTCGTCAAGAGAAAAAGGCTGCCGAAGAGGGTAAGTCAATTTCATAATTTCACGTATTTTTTAACTTAATTGCTTACGGCTAACAATGGAAATGGTGTTTGGCAAACTAACAGACAACCCACAGCATATGGACCGTTGGTGCTCTGTTCCTTCAGCTTCCCTTAACTAACAGACAACCCACAGCATATGGACCATTGGTGCTCTGCTCCTTCAGCTTCCCTTAACTACTGTAAATTAAATAACATTTTCCTTGGTGTGCTTGAGGGTTTCAATTACTTCATACTTATTTCTGTATTTAAAACTTAACGAGAAATGCTAATTAGAAAAGAAAAACTTTTTAAAATCTTCCAAACGGTTTATTACATTAACAAATGAAACCACTTTTTTAGTTTTTCCGCATCCATTGCAAAGTAAAAACATTTTCTCTACATCAAACCATAATAAAAGCAATAATAATCATAAAAACATTAGTGTTAATAATCTTCACTGAGCTATTAAAGCTACTTAGCGCGAAAAGTAACGCCTAACAAGAACAAGAAAAAAGTTAACTTTGACTTTGCCAGAACAGATTTACCAGTAAATACACTTTACACTCAAATCTTGAAATTCAAATAGAAATATTTTATCTTGTAAAAACCGTATATGTTTATAACATAGTATCTATGCATATTTATATAATGACTGTTAAAACTCTAAGTATTCTTAAACGTTACAATTTTTGATAGATCACCTTGAGAGGTCAGCATAGCCTGCGTTATCATCTTAATAAAATAATACCTGAAACGACAAAATGCAATTTCTGTTTGGATGCGCATGTGACTTTTAGTAACATTCTTAACAACTGTCCGAATTTGATCTGAAGCAAGAAGAGAATGTTAAGTCAGGAATTGGTATCTTCGTCCATAGTTAGTTTGTCCGTAACAGCTGACATTTTGGTTATCGTTCGAAAGGTAGGGAGTGTGTTCTGTTGAGTTAGGATCAAACGTAAACCAAAAGATCCATAATAGTTGCAATGTTCCGGTTTCCGAAAACCAGCACCCCTTTCTTTTTCAATACTAATCGATTGGTAAAAATTTTGTTACCAAATCTGACATAATTGTGCGTATATATGAAAAGTATTTCTTGTGAAAAGTTATATGTGAAAACAAGAATTCATATTATAGTTCTACATAAATTCTAATCCATTGATTATACTTTTGTTAACAATGTATTGGGCTAGAGAAATAATAATCGGCGGTTTAAAATGAATGACCACTTTCGTTTTGGGTATTTTGATATGAATAATGTTCCTCAATCTAATCTCTTCTCACTAAGAAATAAAACACTAATTAATCTCTTTTTCAGTTTTATTAGATTTATTTAAGACACTACCGATATAGACGAATGAACAAACGATTTCAAAGCATTGCTTGTCAAATGATCAGTGTTGCCAATTTGATGAATATATCTTGTTTCTCTACGTAGACATATTGTTCTACGGTATAATTTGAAATAATCACTTCTTTCTCTATTTCATTTTCAATAACCTAATGGTCGACAGTGAGCAAAGTAATCGTTAATTATATGATCGCGTCATGATGCTCCAATATATATTGGCATAGTCAGAATTGTACCAAAGGTCTGAGCTACTGCAAAATATATTTTCAACTAGAGCACTCTCTGTAGATTATATTGTCAAGAGAAGAACCTTCTCATAATACAGTTAACCATGCCGCCTTCCTGGATAAGTCACTGCTAATATATATTGACTGATTTTTCTGACAAATTCGTGTCGAAGTTAGCACTTTTGAATAAATTTTTTAATTAATTTTTTTATAAGGTATTATCTTTAACCACGCTGAAACTAATTTCACTTATGTTGATGATGGTCAAGTGCGAGCTAGTATCCCTTTTTTATGTTGATGAGTTATTCCTATTTATATATGAATTATAAAATACTTGCCCTTTGTTAACCTTATAGTACAGAATCTTTTCATGCAAATATGTAAATAATAAAGAAATATTCTTCTTTAAATTTTTTTCTTCTTCCGAACGCTGTTTTACAGCAAAATATCATGTAAAGTTGTAGGTACATTATAAAAATCTGAAATTAAATTAAATATTTTTTTTTAATTAATTTTTAGATTTTTCTTTAAATTTATCTAAACTATCTGAAGTGCATTACAATAAGCATAAATCATTGCTTATAAATGGACTCATACAATCAATATGGTTTTACTTGTTAAGCATATATGAAAGAATCTATTTATGTTTTGTCTTACCTTACTAACTTTAATAACAATAAATTTCCAATATACAAAATAAATTATATTTCGGGTTATGTAAATAAAAACCGCCTACGGACCAAACAAACTTTAAGTTTTTCCGGGTATTTTGTGGCAGCTGAGTATCTTGTTATCCTTTGAATTTCAAAGACAATTTTAGTCAAAAACATTTCGAGCGATGTGTTAACCCATATAAGCCGTAAAGCAAATATACATGGCATATTACCTGTGGTGCAGTGTTTTCTAGAAAAGTAAGCATGTGTGTCTTATAAATGTGTGTCTGTTGGTTTTATACCAACAACATGAAGACAATTATGCTATTAGGAAACTCATGGTTGTCATTTTGCAAATTTCCTATTTTTAGACTATGTAAGGGCGTTTTGACATTTAAATTTTACTCAGATTATACATATTTTTTAATATTTTCATCTGTTATATTATGATCAATTTGCTTTTATTATAAATTTATCATCTGTTTATATGTCATCTGTTTTTATGTTACTTAATTTAAAGCTGTTTTGTTTTTGATAAGAAAAAATCGAATATCAATTATATTAAAGAATTTAATATAATAACAGAAACAAAACTTTTTTAAATACCATATGTAGAAGTACTCACATTTCAAATTCTAAGAAAGTCATTCAATTTTTATGAAACAAATACTTCTAACTCGTTTGGAAATTAAAACAGATCGAGTGAGTTCAATCTTATATAAAAACTACATTCTTATTAAAATTTAAATTTAAATATACCATAAAATGGTAAGATAAATGAAGTTCCAGCTGAAAAAACAAAAATTAAAATTTACGTATTATACTTAAAATTGCAAATAATATCACATTATAGCTAAAGTAGAATTTCACACTATGCTCTCTTTCGTTCATTGTATAGAACACTGACCTGTCCCAATAAGGACCAATTAATTCCAAAAAATGTAGTTAAAAGGATATGAGTGAAACCTAAGAACTACAAATGATATAATCATAAGAAATAAAAGACTTCAAAGTGAATAAATTAGACCTGGAAGGACCAGAAACTAGGCTAATAAAAATAGGCTAGCCACCGTAAAATGTACCAAAAAAGTGGAGATCTGAATACAGATCGTAAATCTAAATGGCAACATAAAAGAAAGTCTCTCCGAAGGGGGCGTTTCCGAAACACACTACATATGTTAGTATGTTGATATACTAGGGAGTTGAGTACACCATTCCGACGACAGTCAGTTTGGCGATGTATAAATCATTCCAACTACTCATTGCACAAAAAAAAACTAATAAACTATTAAGAAAATTATAAAATTTGTTATTAATTTCACTTTTAATCAACAGCAAATTATTTTAAAGTACATAGTTGAGGTCATATGATCACATATCTGCCTACTTAGAATAAGAAAAGGAAAATAGTAGGCGCCTACGACGGTTAGCAATGTTTCTTGTATTGTCTTTAAGGTGTAGTTTTGCTACATAAACACTTCACAACTTAATAACTTAACCATTTGTGCAAAATATTTAAAACATTAACAATAAAATTATTTACAAAGTAATATATATAAGAGAAATAATACTAAAAAAATGTTTATAAAGTATATTTAGACTAACAGGTAGTACTTATGAATTCTTTTCTAATGGTGTTGGTGTTAACTCTAGTTTGGCTTATAAGGTACTAACAAGGCCAACAAAATAGCTTGAATTTATTTAATTTAAAATATTTCCATTACTTTTTTTTCATAATTACAATAGATACTTTCGATGTGGAAACTTCCTCTGAATTAGAGTTTAAATCAATAACATTTAATCAACAATACAATATGGATGCCGATGAATTTAAGCTGGTATTTATAAATTCAGATTCTGCTTCATCAAAGGATGACGAATGTGAAGATAGCAGCTCAACTACATCCTCCACCAACAATTGCAATAGTATAACAATCGATGATTGTGATTGGGATTATTTTGAGCCAACAATGCTTGGCAGTAATGGTGCCATTTCAAAACAAATACTTTATTCGCCATATCAATCGCCATTATTTGGACGTCGTAGACCATGTGATCTCAAGTCCAGCGATAGTACAATTTCTCCCACGGAATCACCAATATTTTATCGTAAACAATTGCTTTTTTATCCAAAAATACGTGAAAGTGATACCGGCACCGATGAGGAAATACTTATGCAAGGTGAAAGCTCCTCACAAACCAGCTCCGATAGTTACTTAACAAAGTCGTTAGGACGACAACAGCATTTAAGTATGAAAACACGCATTAAAACGCGTTTTCTAAGCAAAGAACACAAAAATCAACGCCAAAACTCTATGAAAATTCAGGCAAACTGCTTTGCCAATAACGGCAACACAACAAATACTTGCACTTGCGGCTCCAGTAAGGCGGTGAGCACCGAAAATGTTGCTGCCACAATAACACAACCACAATATGTGCCAATTCCCGTACCAGTGCCGATTCCGGTACCAATGGCTGCATTTCAAAATTGGCATCCAAATGATCTACTCACAGATGCCGCTGCACACGCAACAAAAACAAATTATAAAAACGAAAATCTATGTGCGTCCATACAAAAACTTTGGTGCACAGCTGGTCCCAATTTGACACAACAAACAGCAACGACAAATTTACAAGCCGCTGCTGCTGCAGCAGTGGCAGCATATTCCAATGCTGCTACAATCGATGCATTGTCCAACAACTATAACACATTGGCTACTGAATGTATGCCAATAACAACACCAACAACAACAACGAATTTACTCTCACGTCTTACCAACGCCGGTTTTAATGCGTCAACACCAGAGCTCAATACATCAACCTACTCACATTGTTCGAATTCATCAGGTTATGGCACAACAACCGGCGGCAGTTTGGAGACGTTGACCGGTAGTCTTACTAACCTAACAAAATTGGCAGCGACAGCAACAACAACAAAAGCTCACTACCAACTAAACCAACAAAAACGACAACAAAAACACGATGAAATGATAAAAACAAACTTCATAGCAAATACAACAAATGCAACAACAAATACAACAACAAATAACAAACCAGAAACAAAAAGCGAATTAAAAAAGCCAGGGGCATATATAAACACAACACCAGCTGTTACAAAAACAAATGTTTCCAATCTAGACAACAACAACAGTAACAACAACAGCAATAACATTGTACAAACACAACCAATAACTAAAGACAATTCCACTGCGTCAACGTTAACGCCACCGCCACCGTCACCGTCAACGTTAGCAGTGGCGTTGAAGTGTATATCGCCGTTAATGGAAACAGAAACATTAACTTATAACGATAACGTTGACGCTTTTAGCCACCACCGAAACTCAAACCAACAGCAAGACAATATGTTAGTACCTATAAAACCGTCGTCGGGTTTAAGTCGTGGATTTGGGCCAACGGATATTTGTGCTTTGGATTTGTCGGTAGGCAGCACAGCAAGTACAATTTTAAAAGACAACAACATAACGCCCACCAAACAACAAGTTTTAACGTCACTTTCAGTAAAGCAAAATAATAAAAAACTTTTTAATTTTAATGCCAGCAACATTGAACAACAGCAAAAATATGATAACGACGCTTTTGATATCGGAACAAATACTGATAAGCTAAAATATATTGAAATAAATGATGTAGTCGAAGAAAATGAAGAGCAAAAAAAATTAATAAAAAATTGTATAAATAATGAATCAAATATTAAACAAAATATAAAACAAAAAAATTATATACAAAAAATTTATATAGACAAAAAACAGCAACAACAACAACAACAACTACAAGACAAACAGAAACAGAAACAAGTATGCGAAACTGAAAAGTCGCCACTACTGACCAAAGCTTATTTAACTACAAACACAACAACAACAACAGCAAAGGCCACATTACCAACAACAACAACAACTACAACAAGCAGTTATACTACTACAAAAACAAAACATCAAACAACTTTTAAAAACAACGAAGTGCCTAAAAAACTAACAAACAACAACTTAGACACAACAACAGAAAAAACAGAAAAGAGCAGCAGCCTTAAACGTCCAACACAAATTTTTGTTAAAGAAATAACAAATACAAACAATCAACTACAACTACAACTACAACAACAACGACAAAAACAATTACAACAAGAACATAAAGTATTTGCAGTACCAAGTACTAACAACACCACCAGCGCCATTACAGTAACAACAACCACAACCACAACAACAACAACAGCAACAGCAATAACAACTCCGTCTATAACTCGTTTAGCTTTGGCCAACTCAAGCACAAACTCAACAATCGTAACTGTTGGTCAAAGTACTGTCTCTGTCTCTGCTGTTGGTCGTTGCTCATGCAAGAAATTCAATTGCAAAGATGCTGTTGCTGTCAATACAATAAAGGAAAATAAGTGCAGCACTTGTATGTCTGCTGCAGTTGCAGTTACAGCTAACAGTGACGTCGCTGCCAATGAAATAGAAACAGTGGCTTTATTGTCAGCTGCAAACGATAACTTAAAAAATTTAGTAGAAAGAAAAACAAATAAGAAAAATACTAACGATGATACTAGCTTTTCAAATATAAAAATTGATATTGCAACTACAACACCAATATATAATACACCTTTACTAACCACCACCGTCACCACCACCACCACCACCACCATTAACGCTAGTCAAAACCAAAACGAAACATCATCAGTCTTTGGTAAAACGTTGAACAAAGCGGCAACAAACGTGCGATTATTTAACGAAAATTCAATAGCAAAGCAGAGAGCAGCAGATAAAAATAATTCAATGATATCGATTGGAAAATTAAAGAACGATGCGTCAATGGCAGGCGGTTATCTGCAAAGTGAGAATGTCTTCTCATCGGCTACGTCGACCTCCTCGGCAGAGTCCGAAAGTGAAGGCGCCGCGTTAAATAGCGAAAACGAAACGGTTGCGTCGTCGGTTAGTGGCAATAAAGTGCGTGTAAAACGAAAAACGGGTAAAATGAAATCGATCGGTCAGCGTAAATCGGTGCAACGCAGCTATGATATCGCCAGTGTTGCGGGTAGTGATGACTTGATCGTAAATCAATTGTCAGCTGATAAAATGCGTGAAGCTACTGAACATGACAGTAGCGCTGTCACCACAGATACAGACACTAGCAGTTCCAGTTCAGAATCTGTTGATACAGACGATACAGGCACTATTGCAGATCGTCGCCCAAAGAAACGTCATTTCTCAAAAGTATTCGTGGTGAATCGACACGCCGGACCACGTCTACAACGAGCTGGCAATTCTTCTACAGAGAATGACTCACAATCATCAGATGCAAATCTTGAAGATTCATCCGATAACGATACCGATGTAGAACGACCCGATTGCGGTATTGTGCTAAACTATATGAAACCAATTGATGTTGAAGGTGACAACAAATCAGCCGGCAATCGTCGCACAGCCGGCATGACAGAAGGTGACAGTAGTAGTCAAACAAATGTATCACATAGCAGTCCAACGAGTAGTGATACTGACGATGACGACGACGATGTTGGCAGCAGTGGTCAACATTACGAAAATATAATTGACAAATATGTAGCAACATCAGAGACTGAAATTGCTAATTGCATCATTGTTGTTGGCGGTATGACTGATAACGACAATGGCGGTGTTGTGCTTAATGCAATGCGTGCACTTTCTAGTGATGATGATGTTGCCGTCACAGCAGCAATAACGCTGTCGACGGACACGTTGCCACGAGAAAAAAAGTATTCACTTGGCAAGAAAGCCGAAGTAGACCTTCCAAACCCCCCTTCCAATGCAGGTGCCCCACAAAATGCTTTTACGGTAGAAAAAGCAATTAGCAATGCCGTTGCACACAGGCAAACAGAGCGATTGAACGAATTTTCTAAAAATGCTTCAGTGATTTCCGAAACTAATGAAAGGAGGAACGAAAGCAGTTTAGCGTTACCCATGCAAATAGATGCACAAGAAGCATGTAAAGAATTGAACAGCATTGCCAATGATGTTAATCGTTTGCTCTCATTGACAAAACAAAATTCAGAGCTCGAAATCAAATTACAAAAATTGCGTAAGGATGTGGCAGAAATCAATCAAGATCACATATCACGCGGCAACACACCTGAAATGAGCACACCCACCTCTTCATCGTCATCGTCATCCCCATCCAGTCAGTCAAGTGCAGCGGGTACACCTGAATTAAAGCGCTGCACTTCAAAGACTTCGTTTAATGCTAACAACAATGCATTAACAACGTCAGCACCAATAACAAAAACAACAACGAACAAGGAGCACACAGTTCAGTATAGTACGTATGAAAATAAACAAAAGCAGCAGTACGAATGCGATATGGCTAAAAATAGCACACAATCAGGTATGCAAAAAACAGAAAATGACAACAACACACAAAAGCAACACACAGCAGCTCACAACCAAATTGAAAAAACAACAACAACATCAGTAGCAGCATTAAAAAGTAATGAAAAGGTGCATATTGTCTGCGAAAATACTCAAATACAAACAAATGCTAGGGAGGAAATGGCAAAAGTGGAATTACCTGCAAATGCATGGTCCGCTGAGCAGTTTACAGAGCCAACAGCAGCAACAACAACAACAGAAATAACTATTTTACCACCACCAGAAACGACAGCATTAATGTATGAGGCTCAAAATATGTTTGGTAGTAAAAATTTAAATGTGGAAGGTTCTGAGAAAAACAAATTAACAAATGTACACATACAAAATAAAAATGAACAACAAAAACAAAAACAACAACAGCAACAACTTAATTATAAATGTAATTATTTTGAAAGTAATCATGACGTTTCTCATAACATAAACGTTAATAATGATGAAAACAAAATAGAGAATATAAACGAAATCGACAATAATTGTCTTGCTACAGCAATGAGTTCTGGTGCTGCTGTTGTTGTTGGTAATAAAAATAAAGTGATGAATGCCTGCAAAGATACACAGTTAGAAACGATACAGTCAAGCCAGTTAACAACTACAGCTGACCAAAATATACAACAACAACAAGACGAAGAAGAAGAAGAAAAAGTAGAAACGAAAACTACAAATCCAACTACAATAAATACACAACACTCCGATTACTCTTATAATAAAAACTCAGTAGAGCAAACAGTTAATGATTTACCAACAACTATAACAAAAAGCACAAAAGCATTAACTCAAAATGAGCAAAAACATAAAACACCTGAGCAAACTCCATTTGTTGTTGTTGCTGCTACTGGCGCTGTTACTACTGATACTGCTGATATTAATAATAAAAAACGCGTAAAAAATGAGTATCAACAAACACAAGTAAAGCAAAACGAAATACCAACAATAACTGATGATAATACAACAATAGTGAGTAGTGCTGAGTTAAAAGAGAATAACAAACAGAGAAATGCAAGTAAATTCGTTTGCGCAGCAGCGCCTAACAATGAATTGAATGAATTGGCCAAGAAAGCGCGAGTGGTAGTTGAAAACGATTTGTTAAACGAAAAAGACGGTAGCGGCGGTGTCAGTGCTGATATTAGCACTAACAGTAATAGCGTTGAAATTGAGCAAAAACGAAAAAATATTGACGGTACGGTACAAAATGTTAATTACGAAATTGCTCAAGTGTCTTCGTTAAAAGAAATGCAAAGTAATTTACACGAAATAACAAGTGAATATAAAGCAAATAATGAAATTAAAGAATTTCACACTAACAACGTTAAATTAAAAAAAAATAAAATCAGTGAAGATATTGTGAATACGTGTATAGATCAGAATAATTTAAAACAAATTGAAATCATTGAGAATCTGAAACACGATTTAACCAATGAAAAAGTGAATGCATTGTACGCGCCCATACCCTCCTGCTATGATATCGGTGGGACAAGCCCAACAAATACCGCATTTGTTGATAGTTCGTCGCTATTATCGTCGGGTACGAAACAAATAAAAAATATAGGTTCACCCAAATCACTCTCGGCAAAATATCGTAGTTTAGTTATGATTACAAAAGACAACAACAATATCGAAAGTGCAATAACTTCAGATACTAACACTAATGTAAACACAGATCTTAACCCCACAGTGACAAGTGTAAAACAACAATCACATGATATGAATAGTGTGGCTTTAATTGATGCTTGTGGCGTTACCAGTGTTAAGCCTAGTGTTAGTGGCGTTCAAGTAAAGCACGATCATAATGATATGTTAAATGAAAGACAAAATGATCATGAAGTTCAGCATAACAAAAACAAAGACACTAAAACAAGCAATTTGTACGCGTGTGATGCTTTAACTGCTGCAAACAACAACAACGACAGAAACAATGAAAGGAATGAGTCATATTTATCTGCAAATCATTTTAATACAGTGAACGACGTCAATGCTGCAGTGACGTCGGCAAATAGCATATTTACCTCGTTAGAATTGCTGTCGGATAATGATGATTCGAAATATTCGCCAACAACATCAGCAAAAAATACAACTGGAACCGTCTGTCTCGAAGACGGGTTGGCTGATGATGATTCCTGGGTCGAGGAAATAAGCCAAAATGGAGATGAATTCATAGATGAAGATAGTACAACACCTACAGCTTCCGATTCGGAGGATTTGAGTGTTGATGGTGAAGATTCCGTTGCTGCTGGTGGTATGTACATTGATCGTGAGGAAGAGTTGCGTGGTTATCACCGTTCTGCTATTGATTTTACTTTACATACTATTGTTGAAGAAAGTTGTGAAGAAAGTGAAGTGGCATCACTACGTGATAATGAACATGACATTGATGAGGAAATGGATGAAGCAGAACGTCGACGTCAACGTACAATCAATCACCATAACCGCTTATCTGCATCAGATTTGGAAAAGTATTTCTTTTTCGGCTTAGCTGATGGAAAAGTAATGAGTTCAATTGATACACGGGGTGATGATACTGCATCTGAAGTAAGCAGCGAATGTTCGGAGAGTTTAGATTCACTTGGCATACCTGAAGAGCCAGATCTTACCAATGCTGCTGATCTTGCCTCTTCTAGACTTGAGAAATATTTTTTGTCAGGATTCATGGGCTTTAATACTTCGGCCGAAAAGAATGAATCAGATGAATCAGGTAGTGTTGGCAGCGATAGTGAAGGACATCCTAGTCCCAGCCAACGAAGAAAACGTTTAGTACGTGCGCGAGGTACACCAAGATCTCATAATTCCTCATTAGACAATTTATTAGCTGATACGCAATATGCTGGTAATGAATCTTTAGAAACTAATAATGCGGATGCTCTAGACTCATCAGAGTCAGAAGGATGCGATGAGACTATTATACATGCAGGCAGTGCAAGCGAAAAGGATGGCACTTCATCCGATACAATGAAACGGAAAAAGCAGTTACGCAAACGCCATGACTCTTTGGATGAGAAAAAGTTGCTTGATAGTACTGATGATATAAATAAATTACCGCCTGCTAGTGAGTGTCGCACTCCTACACCTGGCTCCATAAGTAGTGCGCAAGCTAAAAAACAGCAGCATCATAGCAGAGATAGTGGTTTTGTCGGTAGTAATGATGATTTGCTGAAAGCACCTGAATGTGAAACGATCTCCGTACAGATTCGCGCTAAATCACCTACCGCACTCGCACAGATACACGAAGATAAGGAAATTACAACACCTACAGAAAGTACAGGATCTTCTTCTTCTGTCTCTCCACCACTAATACCTGAAATTGTTTTGAGTGCACCTACAAATCCCAGTCCGAGTTCGCATTCAGAACTACGTCTTACAAAAAAACCACCACTACCACCAGCCACTAATAGCACGCTAGTACGTAAGGATAGCTTTAATAATTGGAGCTCGGATGAGGAAACAAATCTTATGATGTCAAAAATGCGTCAATTCTTTAAGACACTCGTAGTAGCTACAGCAAATGCACAACAAAATCTAGGCTCCGCAAATAGTTCTAAAACTGCCACACCTAATCAAACAACACCTATATCTGTTCGACGTATGAGAAATCGACCAGCACAACTTGCATATTTCGAAAACGAGCTTACTCGTCTAATGAAAACAGTACCCGGTATAAATGATGAGCAGGTGCGAGAAATCGTGGAATATTTGAGTAGCGAAGACGCATGGTCCGATTCCTGTGATTCCTCAGATTATACAAGTTCCGATTTGGAAGGTAGTCAAAGGAGAAAGAGCGAATTAAAAGAACAGATATCTGCAAGTTGTCAACAAATAATAACTAAATTCGAAGTGGACGAAGAAGGGGATCGTGGTGATGGCGGTCTACTTGATGAAGCACACGCCTTAAATGCAGACACAGCCTTTGTTTATCAAAAACTAATGGAATCATTTTCAAAAATTGCCGTGGGAAATGTAAATACTTTAAGTCCTACAATAGCAACTGCAAATGGTGTACCCAATTTCGATGCACCAAGCGGTAGCAATAAAAATGTCGAAGAGGATCAAATATCAACAAGCAGCACACGTAGTGCAGAACGTTCTCCTCAACTATTTACCAAAGTAATGCAACACATTGGCACTCGGCTTGTAGCACTCATGCATGAAGTAAGTAGTGGAAATGATACTCATGGCACCAATTCACCAATGCCACCACAACGCAATCACCACAAACGTTTACAAGCCAAAATATCGGCAACAACTACTGAAGATGAAGAAGATAATCAGAATGACAAAAATCAAGCAAAAGGAGCACGTGGTAATACCCATATGCACCAACACAATTTATATCAACCAAGTGGATCTAATAAAAGTGACGATCCGAATAATTTAGCACGCAGCAAATCGCATGATCTATTACTCGACTCAGCAGCTTCTATATCGACAGCCTGTAGCAGTGGCAGCGGTAGCAATGCAATAAATACACGTCCTCATCATCATCAGTCCAGCAGCGGTGTCAGTGATACCGCCGGTGAGGAGTGTGGTGTTGCAAGTGATTATGAACGTTTTTCATGGCGCGGTAGTTTTGAATCAGCATTACTGGCTAATGGTGATTCCAGAACAAAACTTAGTCAACTCGATCGTGACAACTTATCCTCTGCGTCCGCTTTGGCCATTGCAAAGCGTCGCTCGGCAGGTGATCTGTTGTTCAACCATCATAAAAGTCTGAGTCGCGAGCAATTAGATCGTGTGCGTTCCTGTGGTAGCATTGGTGGTGGTGATGAACATCATAATGAATTGGAAGCTTCGCCAGCAAAACCATGGGTTTCTTCCAATGACACCAAAGATGTGCGACGTTCCAGTGTTCCTGATGCAATATATGAATTAGATTCCTCTGATGATGAAGCTTTCGGTACACGTTCAACACTACCACGCAGTTTGACAAGTGCAACGCAAGTGGCGAGCACTAATTCCTTACCACGTCTGCCAACTTCAAGCTTAGGTGCGGCCGCAGTTTCAGCAACATCAACACCAGCAACAAAATCTCAAAATGCTTTGAATTTCACATCGACGAGCAGTGCAAAAAGCGCACGGTATCGTTCACCAGGCTTGGCGAATCGGTCAAGTTCATCCATCGGTTCTAAAAAGTCAAGTTCCAGTCTCAGTTTGCAGCATTTCTTATATTCGAAACGCGATACACGTAAACGTCTAAATATGTCTGCGGGTGAGCTTTTTATTTGTTACTATTTATTTACTTAAATTTTATTATTATTTTATTTAAGTTTTTATGACTTTTGTTTGTTTACTTTAATTTTAATTCATGAAGTAGTCATTTCTGCAGTACGTACGGCTTTTATATAGGCTTAGTTGAATGTGATTGTTCAAAACTTTCAAATTCTCGTTTATATTTTTTTGGAAAAAAACGCAAAGTTAAGGTGAGGCGCTATAATATGAATATCTACTTAAGTTCTACCCTCGAAGTGCACTTATGGAGTTCCTCTAATTATACTTTTGTCATATGACAATTTTTGGAATAACTTCACTTCGATATTAGAATGCAATATTTAATGTATGCGGAGTACACATAAAGGTGTGTCTGCAGACAATAATTATGGTTCTTATCGTCACAAAAGTCTAAAGCCTTGTGAGAGAGGTTGTGAATACTACATTTATCTTCAAATTAAATAATTAAAATATAAACAATTAAAAATGTTTTATGGCTACAAAAATGATTGCACTATCTTTATAACATGTTTTAATTCAAATTTATTCTCGTTTACTTATATTTGGCAAGGTGATTTGATATATCTACATTATTCTGCGGCTATATATATGTTAGAAACTACATTTAACTATAAGGAGATAAATTAAATATAAAACACACATCGCAGATAAATGATCAAGATTATATGAGAGTCATCTTTTATTTATTTGCTCTTGACAGTGCGTTATAGCGTAATCATATCTAAGAATATTTAACTAAGCAGTGTAATTTATAACCACACATGGATAAGCCCTTAAGTAGGTATCTCTTGTTTATTGAGAGCTTAGATTTTATTATTAAAAAATCTATCGGTGACCTATTATTTCGTTTTTTTTATTCACTCTAAAAGACGTAAATATTATCAAAGTAGAGAGTTGATATCATTCTATAAGGAAGAAATTTCAGGAACACAAAATAACATCACTAATTTACCCTTTTCACACTAAGGGCCATGTTATGCAGGCAGCAGTTATAAACACGACTTATGTATAATTTTAATTTGTCTCTAATATATATTAAAAAACTTACGAGGATTCTGTGCCTCAGTATTACTTTGTAGTAAATGTCAGAATATGTGCCTTTTAGGTATATAAAATCTTTTGTGGATATGCTTGTGGATATCTGGATATCTTTTAAAATTAGGCGCACCTAAAACGTATCAAAATTTTATAACTCTCTGTTATATCATAATTAAAAATTGAAGATACAATATTTTGTATATTATAAAAAACTCTTGTTAATTACCAATGGAAAAGTCTGTCGCTCCAATAACAAAGCCCATTTTATTTCGATTTAATTATTTTTTGGTAACTAAAGCCTTTCTATTTTTTAATTATGGCAAAAACCTTTGTTACCATTAAATTATTTTAAATTTTACTGCTTTAAATTTTAATTGTAAAAATAATGGCACAATATTTTTTTTACTGATATTATAGTATTTGGTATATTATATCCTAATATCAATCAGTTTGACATATCTTGATCGTTTATAATGAAATAAAAAATATTTCATGTTTAAATTTACTTCAACTTTTATATAAACATCTAATGATGTCCTCTTCAAATAAGCGTGCTTAGATATATATTTATTATCAATCATTTATAGAAGCTTGATATTGCAATTTACAATTTCGTAAATAAAAAATATGAAAGCAATATTTCCCAATGGTTTATTTCTACATATTTAATGCAACATATTGCATTTTCTTTTCTTTGTCTGCTAATTGGAGTTTTTAAATATTATAGATATTAAAACAGTTCGTTTACACTATCTTAATTAAAGCATTTTTGTAATTAACTTACTAATTGTGAAGCATTTAATTGCATTTCTTATGCAAATATTTCAGAGATAATTATATCAGTTTAATTATTCACCAATTAACTATAATTAAGAGAATAATATCTTGAAACATTCCAATATGGTAATAACGTAACAAAGAAAAATACTATACAATAAAATTACAAAATATTAGCAAACAATATATTTTTATATATATATTTTTATGAAATACAAACAAAGGTATAATACTATTAATGAAATTGTATTTAATTTCATGTCATAACTGTTAAGTTAATTTCATTAAATTGAATTTTCTTAATTTTAACAGTGTAAACACTTTAATTTAAATGTGCAATAATTACTAATTATAGTACAACAATTAATTCAATTAAATACTGCATTCTTAATTCGTTAAAACTTCATTACGTATACAATATATTTAAAATGTATAATTTAAAAAACATATAAAACAGTATTGTTTCTGAAAAGTATATATATGATTTTCTTGAAAATTGGAGGTATGAAAACTAAGGGGAATTGAACGGTTAAACACAGAAGGAGCGAATCCTCATCAACCTACGAAATATTTATGAAGAATTGGTCTCAGTTCTGTTTTTGTTATATTGCACTTGATGTGATTAATAATAATAATAATAAAAGAATATCTATTAAATCTTGTTTCAAGTTTTTTAACAACGGTGATCCACAGTTAATAGCTGTGCTTAGGGTGGACGGTGAAGGTGTCGGCCCAGGGTGAATAAAAAAAGGGTCACCAGTTCTAAACCAAAAACTAGTTTTGCATTCAGTCTTACCACCTTCAATCGTACTAAAGGTATAAACCGTACCATGTTTAGCAGTTTTTTTCTCGATTCAAGAAATTTTTTACTGTTAATCTCTTTTGGGCAGACAGTGTTAGTTGTCTATTAAGAGAGTTTTTACTTTTTATCTCTTTTAGGCACATAGTTCACAGATTGCAAACTACTAAGTTGTGAGATAGTTTAGATCATATTAAGGCGCTTGTTGTTTGCCATAGAAATCGATACAATGTCGTCTTAGCCTAAAAGGATTTAGAAGTAAATATTTTTCAAAGACCATTGATAGAAGGTATTGGGTCATTACCGATATAACTTAATATTTAACCAACAATAGAAATGATTTCATATATTTCATATCTTTTTTATCCCAGCTCGTGTCTTCTTCATACGAAGCTTCAAAATAGATACGAGGACGTCATATTAATCTCACTGAAGACGCTGGTAGTAGTCAAACCAGCACTGTACATAGCAATTCAATACAAGTAGTTTGCCAAAACAAAACTCTAAAATCTGAAAGTGAACTTAATTACAAATCAAGCAATTAATTTCAGAGGATGCATAAATTTTTCTAAATTATGTTTGAGAAAAGTATTTACAGGTCCATAAATAACAATATTTCAAGCACTTAAGCCAATGTTAATTATCGCTACGAAGTTTGTAACTAGTTAAAGGCAGTTGAAAATGGAAAAAAAATATCTAAATAAAATAAGAAATTATGTGAATTTTACAAGTATATAAATTTTTAGTTAAAAATTATATATATTTTAATAATCAGAAAAGAAAACAACATTTGATGTACAACATTTTTGGTCGTAAAAATCTATAAGGCAGAAGACTAATGAATCTTGAAAAAATATGTATTTTACTTTTTACATACTTATTATCTTACATTATTAAATAATAATTACTAACTTTGTTATTAGTTATTATTTAAAATTAACTCTTCTAGTTCTCAAATAATGATTTTAAATTATTTTTTGAAATTCTCTTTTAAATTTGCCGTGAAGCCGCCTATCAATAAATACAAAAAAAAAACAAAATGACTAATTAACTTAGGTATGTTAGGCTGTAGCTTAAATTTATTTATTGTCGATAATAATAACATTTAAACTATTATTTACAATTAGTTTTGCTTTCTATAAATTATAGCAGTTGGAAATTTTATTATTAAAAACACGAAGAAAATTGATAAGGTTAATCACACATCTTATGCATGTTAACAGCGAAACAAATGTATCTTAAACTTAAAAATTAGTTGTAAATTTTCTTTATAATTAAAGAAAATCTTTTATTTATATGGTATAATGATTTATAAAGTTTTATATCATGTCTGTCCTGCTTTATGGTGCAGAAGATTCGGCAATTACCAACAGTGATGAGAAGGCGTTAGGAATATACGACAGAAAAATTCTTAGAAAAGATCTATGATCACTTACGCGTTGGCAACGAGCATTGAATTGGATGAATTGTTGAGCTGATTGATGATTTATACATCGCCATTGACATAGTTAAACATAAACTAAGCAGTTTCGTTGGCTTGGTTATGTCGTATGAATGGAAGAAAGTGCTTCACCCGAAGGGATGTTTGATTCAGTGGAAACCACGTAAGACGACCTTTACATTTTAGGTGTAAGAACCAGGTGACTGAAATATGAAGGCACTCGGTACTACTAATTGGCGACAGTAAGCAACTGTTCGAATTGGCTGGCGAGGGCTGTTGGACGCGGTTAAGGGGACGACTCATGTCTGTAATAGCGAACTAATAGTTATAAAATTAAGTGTTTTATACAAAAAGTTGTAAATTTTTACATTTTTTTATAAAAATTATAAATTGCTTATATCATAATAAGAAAAAAAGAAAAGAAAAATACTTTTATATAGAAAACTTGACCGTTATCTGAACTTACAAACACATTTTCAACTACATTATAAACAGAACTAATATCTACAGCCGTCGTTAATTAATAAAACCATAAAATTGTAAACATTTAAGCTGGCAATAAATATCAAATTCCAAAGTAAAATAGTTGTAAATACAAAAAAAAAAAAGAAAAAAATACCAGCTAGCAGCGATGAATGATCGTTGGAGTTTAGCTAACCCAAAAGCATGACGCAGCATGGTCAAGACCAAGCGTTGCCAAAAGTTATCAAAAACAAACTCAATCAAGGTCAATTAACTGTTCCCATATTAAGCTCGACTCTTCTCAAAGTGATTTTTTTTTTTTTTGCACGACTCATTCGATCAATTAACTTTTTTCTTCTATCCACATGTACTCTCGGCTTTGGAGCTGAAAACAAAACAAAAAAAAAAGTATGTATCGTGTTACCAGATCCGAATCTGTATCTGCCGGGTTCACGGCAATATC